AGCGCAGTCACTTCTTCCCATATAGTTAAGTGGGGCTGTGAACATGGATGCATCCTTCAGTTCCAGTCCTGTGTTTTATTTTTTTTTCTATCCCAGCCTGCAACACTTGGCTGTAGCTATGCCCAACTTCAGAGCCTGCGTAGCTTCTTGTGGGATCTGTAATTGCTCCCTTCTCAGACCACTTGCTGAGTTTATGGACATTAGGACAACAGGTCACACCAGGCATTATAGAAATTTTCCTTGTAGAGCTGGAATAGCCCCAATCTAAATACACTAAAGATACTGGGACGGCACAGCACTAGTCCCTAACCCGCGCAGCACTGAAAGCTTTGGCTATGTCGGTCTGTTCTTAACTCCCATGTCCGTATGGCTTCCCGATTGTGCTAAGCTCAGCTGTTTGCAGAATGACTGATTTTGATTTGCCAGATATACTGCCTATAAGCACCCTTCTTTTACTGCTTATATAAGTGTTTATACCTTATATTGGAGTATCTTTTTTTTTTCCTTCTGATTTGCTTTCCTTTACCTTCCTTATTTGCAAAGAGAGTGTGCTCCAACTGTGCCTCTGAGTGCTTCTTCCCCATTTTTACCCCCTGCCCCAAGCTGCAGTATGTGACATGGGGGAGGTTATGTTTGCAGTGCAGAACAGCTTGTAAAGGGCATTTTTAAAGAACTTTTTTGCTTTGCAGTTGCTTTATAGCTTGTCTGCATGGGCAGGCTTTCATAGAATGCTTTTGCTTTAAACTTCTTCTGATTAATTAACTTAAAATAACTGTCTCCACATCTTTGACTTCCTTTCCAAATACATTTTTCCAGTTGAGCGAGATGTTGTGGGCAGGCGCTGCGTGGTGCATTGCATTGTTGCCGAGTTACATGTTGTGGACCTCTGCTGCAGACTGTTGGGTGAACTCTGCTTCAGGGGAGCTCTGGAACAGTCCCTGAAGGACTCCTGCGCCGCTCCCTGCTTTCCAGGAGTTTGCACAACACAGAAGAACAAGCATAAGTCATTCCCTACCCAGGGACTGATATGACAGCTGTAGTCTATTTTCTTTACTCTTTTTCTCCCTTCCCAAAGAAGCACCATTGCTTCTGCAAGGAGAATATTATTCTTGATCCCTTAACTTCACCAGTCATTGCTCAAACCCTTGGCTTTGTTCTAGAGCTACTGTCTTCCACTCTGCTTTTCCCTGCACTTTGGAAGCTGTTCAGCTTGCTCCTGGCAGGTGTGGTTGTATAGCAGTAGACAAGTCAGTTGGTAATCCTGTCGTGCTTTCCTTCTGGTTTTCCTAGTTCGGCGAATGCTGCACAAAGTAAGGCAGCTGTCCTGGTGGCTGATCCCACTTGACCCAGGGAAGTGCTGGTTTTCCAGGTTTCCTCTCATTGCAGTACTGAATTTCTGAATGTTGCTGCCTGCTCCTCACCTTGCTTTAGATCAGGAGGATGCTGTTTAAGTCTATATATACTTCTCGCACCCTGTGCAGCTCTTGGTGGATGAGCTGATCTGCTGTATTGCTGGATACTTTATCTGTAGCGGAGAAGTTCTGAAACAGTGTCTGGCTGCATAAGAAAATTATGTGTTTGATTTGACATAATATAAAATCATTCTCTCCCTTATCCTTCCTAGCCTTTTGGAAACCTCTTTTCTAATTTACCACTTCAAGCTGAAGCGTGGTGAGCTTTCCATTAGCTGCTTGTGCTGTCGCTGTATCTCATTGTTTGCTGGTGCAGGGTAACTCTACTTTGTCCAACCCAGAACTGCTGAAGTTTGGGAGAATCCAATTGATATAGCTGCTTTCCCCAAAAGATCCAGACCTGCTTCTCACTGACCAGGTCTTTTGAGCTAAAGGCAAACTCTGATTATTCCATCCCTTCATGAAGAGCCCATGTTGATGAGGTAGGTGAGCTGACACCAACTTCTCATACCATGTTTTGTCTGTCCTCCTGCTAGTTTTACCTTGAAGAACGAGCTGCCTACTTCATGAAGTTTGCTACTACAATGATGTGGTATCTAAAGCAGATACTTGGTTTCCTTCAGGTTGCTTCAAGTTACTTAATTTAGAAGCTTAGGTACAATATAGGATATATGACCTGTCCATATTGAGGTTGTTAGGCTCCCAAAGGAGAGATGGGGCTGCTGCTATAGGCTTCTGTAAGGTACCTTCAACTTCTTAAGTGTTGATACAGGGAATTGAGGCTTTACCTTTACAGATAGTACACTATGATGAGAGATGGCAACTCTTGGTTTTGGTGTTTAAAGCTCCTTGCTGTGCTTCTGCCTCTTCCAGTTTCAGTATTTTATTCTAGTGGTTCAGAACTGCCTGGCAGGTGTTGCTCTCCTCACTCCCCTCAATGGCAACTGCAGTAAAGTTTTGGTAAGATTAAAATCCTTTCCTATAAACAACCAAAACTTTCTAAAGTAGGTGAAGAAAAACCCACCCAAATGCTAGTAAAGAATGTAAATTGCACTATGTTAAACAGTAAAGACCATTAATCCTGTCTTTGTTGCCCCAAGTAATAATTTTGACTCTTCTTTGGGACTGCATGTTCAGGAGCAAGCAAACAGATTTTGAACTTAAGCCTGTCTTTGTGTACCATTTTCATGGTAATGGATTATTGCTTTTCTTGCTCCTTTTTTCCTTCTGATCCTTCTTTCTTCAGATGTCCCGTATCCAGCTGTGAGGTCTGTTTTGCCTTTCTCTATGGCACTGCCGTCTAGAGTCTACAATACACTTTGTAAATATTCTTCATGTTTTTCATTATTGAGGTGGGAAAGAAAAAGGTTTCCATCATGTAAAACTGTCATTGGCCTCTCAGGCTTCTTCCCTATCATAAACCCATTTTATTTTTTATTACTATCAAAGGCTCTTCTTCTGTTCTGCCAGGTCCTGGAACAAGAGTCCTGAGATGGCTTTGAAAATTGGATGTTTCCCTAAGGAGATCTTCCAGTGCAGCTCTGGCCTAGTGTTGCCCTTGGAGATGATGGGGTGACTATGATATGATGAGTCACTATGCAAAGGAGAAATTACTCCCTTGAGTTTTTTCTTTCCTTTCCCTAAACTGCTTCATGAAAACAGTACTCTTTCTGACAAACAAAAAGCAAAACAAAAAAAAGCTTCTATTTTTGTTTGAGCTTTTTCAGGCGGTCCATGCTAAATTCTTTAGGCATGTCGCGAAAGTTAGAAATGTCTCAACAACGTGTTAAATAGGTAGGTAAGTTGACCAGCTCTTTGAAAAGCCTTAACTCCAAAATGAGTCTAACCCTGTAAACAAGCAGGCTAAGGAGGAGGATGGAGCTCTGTATGACAGGACAGGAATGATGGGGATAATGTGGATGAAATGTTTACATATCTGTGCCTTCCCCAGGCCTTTCATGTGCTTCTTCCTTGTATTAACTTGCTTTACGTTTTCAAGAAACATGCAGCTGGCTAGTAACTGGGCAGGGCTCTCGTTTTTTTTCTGCATTAAGTAAGGACTAAAAATTGTAAATGTTTTGTCTGTTTGCTTTATGAGATTAATTTTGGGATGTCAGCTGGCCCTAATCCCATCCCTTTAAACTCTTTTTATAGCGGTCTGATTTTTTTGTTCTTCCTCTGTGTGATGGTATGTATGTCTTGCCTTGCAGCCAGCTCTCATTACAGATCATTCATTGCAGCATAAGCCATTTGATCAGCTAGTCAAGCCAAAGTTGCTATATGCTTAATTTGCAGAAATATAGTAAGAATTTACCAGTTCAATAAAACTCTCTTAAAGGAAGAGAGCATGACCCAGTAGAGCTCATTGCTTGACTGATCCAGCAAGTGACCTTGGCTAAGTCATTTAGTTCTTCCATGTGCTTCGGTTTCCTTTTCCTTTGCCATCCTCACCTTTACCACACTTCTTTGGACCATAAGATCTTCAGCACTGAGCCAGTTTCAGGCTTTCACAAGGGAAATTATTTGGTCAGGCTATTTAAACATAGCAAAAATCATACAAATATTCTGTAATAACATGCTAGCAGAATAGAGAGATATCTTCCAAGGAGATGTTTTGCATGGTAAACCTTCTACAGCTTGCAGGTAGGATTAGTGAAGTGTTACTCTACCACCTCGATATTATTATCATTACACAAAACATAACGTTTATATAAAATGAAAAAAGCTTAAGCTGAGGTAATAGGAGGGAAGCACTGATTGCATTGTTCGAGGGAAGTGCACTGTAATCTTCAAATTAGTTTGTATCAACTCAATTACTTGTATGCAGCTCTCTTGTCATTGTAAGAATCTTCTTTGTAGAACCTGAAACTCCAGTGCTAAAAACATGAAATCAATAGGCACTGTTATATCCACTTAAAAAAAAAAAAAATATTGATTTGCAGATAATGACAGCAGCTCATTCTTGCAGGATTACATGCCACTTCCTGTCATAAAGATTACTTTCATATATATTACATCTGAGATGGAGAACATAGGTATAAAACTGCTTTGCTTTAATGAATAGTCACTTTACTCTGGGCATTAAAATGAGATATATTTCTTTAAATTTATCTCTAGGGATTATTTTTATTTCACGGGCAAACGCTGTGTTACCAAAGACTCTAGAATGCTATTAAACTTTTAAATAATCTTGGATTGCCTTGTTTCTGCAAGTGCTTGAACTCGTCCTCTCGTTGATAGCAACTAATTAAGCAAAATATCGTGCTCTTTCTGGTCTCCTCCTCATCCTTGATTGATGGTTAACACCATGTTATCTTGGGTATTAGATGTTCTTTGCTAAACCCTAAGTATCTACCAGCATCTAACTCTCTGTGCTTCGTAACAAATTTCTGTCACCTTCAGGGGATTAAATTCTTCATGCTGATCATGGTGGCATGTAACTTCTCCCATTGTGCAGCTATTTTTTTTTCTTGTGCTGTGGCTCATTTGAAGCCTGTTCTTATTAAGCATAAGTGACTTCGTGTATTAAAATAACTCTTTTCACCTCTTTCTAGGTAATCTGGCTTCCCAGAAACCTCCTGCTAAATGCAAGGGTTTGCTGTCCTGTTTACTGACTGTTACACCTGAGGCTGATTTTGATACAGATTCTGGATATTGCAGGGTAAGTGTGCAGATATCTGTTCTTTTTGTGGTTTGTTTTTTTTTCATGGTCTCTTATTTGCTTACACGAACACAGTTTGGGCTCTGCTTTCCTTTTCAGTGACTGCATCAAGTCCCTATTGGAGCATATGCAACTGAGCATCTGTGTTACAGTAGAAAAATAATGTAGTAGGATGAATGCTGGTGCTGTAAACCTGATCAGGAGTGTTTGAATTTGGTGTTATAGCTCCAAGAGGGAGCAAAGTTTGTATGTCTACAGACTCATAGGCCTGTATCTTATAAAATTGTAAAAAGCTGTAAGACTCTTATTTGGGTGTAGTGAACATTTTGAGTTTCAAGCTGACAAATGTGCATGTATTTTTGTATTACCAATGAAACGTTCTTCATAACGTACATAGTTCTAAATATCTGTGAAGTTTGCAAGATCAAGTTTAAATATTTGGAAAAGGGAGATTAAAGGTTATTTAGTTTCTTGGGGGCATTGGAAGGGGAAAGAAAGTACTGATTACCTCTCTTATTCAATTCTGCTATGCATATCAGAGTAGAAGCTTAAAATACTTCATTGCTGAGTGACTCTTGTGGGATTTTTCACCTCCCAGCTACTGGAGGAAAGTGTAATTTAGTGGACATAGATTTGGTTTTTCTGTTTTTGCCTCTTCCTCAGTCTTGATCCTCTGCTTCCACCTTCTCTTCCAACCTGCTATTTTCTTGCCTCACCGCTTTCCTAGCTCCTTTTTGCAATCCTCTCTGTTTTTTTTTCTTCATGGAGCTAATCCTGGCCCTTGGTGCTGTTTGATATCTATCTTGGCCTCCTTCAACCAGCTTTCTGGCGTCTCCCAACCAGATATGTAGATTCGTGGGATAATTCAGGCTGGAAGGCACCTGTAGAGATCATCTAGTCCAACCTCCTGCTCAGAGCAAGGTCACTAGAGCACTAGTTGCACGGGGCCACATCCAGCTGGGTTTTGAATATCTCCAAGGATGCAGACTCCAAAACTTTATTTGGCCCCCGTTGCCATGTTTCACCACCTCCTGAAGGATAGTTTCCTCATCTATAATCTGAATTTCCATTGTTGCAGCTTCTTTCTTCTTGTCATATCTCTGCACCCTTCGAAGAATAGGCTCACTCTGTCTTCTCTGCACCTTCCCTTTGGGGAATTGGAAAACATAGTGAAGTCTGTAGGAGCCCCATCCCGTCTGTAGGTGTTCCATCCACCTATATCCTCCACTGGACTTGCTCCAGTATGTCAAAGCCTTCTTGTTCTGGAGGGCTCAAGTCCTGCATGAAAGGGAAGGATTGCTTCTCTGGACCTGCTGGCTGTGCTCTTGCTAACTCAGCCCAGGATGGATGCACTCGGCCTTTGTTGCAAGGGCATATTGCTGGCTCAAGTTCTCCTTGCTGTCTGCCAAGACCACCAAGTCCTACTTTTTCTTCCTATTTTTAATCTGTTTAATCTTTCTCACACGCTGTTGTGCAATCCTTACTTCCAGTGCTTGCTGTTCCTTCACAGGATTCCTTATTGAACACGTCAGTATCCCCAACACATCTTGATCATAACGTTTCTGGCAGTCTCTTCCCATAAATGAGTTTGAACTACATTTTGGAAACAGTGAAAGCCCATTTCCAAGTCTTTCACTCTTGGAAATTGGCTTATTTCCCTGAGCAACTAGCTTAAAGCTTTCAATGTAGCTTTGATGATTTAAAAATCTTTTTCAATTCCTATCATTAGTATGTTCACGGTAAAATAGGAAATTGTGTGTATGCTTGGGTGTGTACAAGTGTGTATGGGAGAGTTTATTTAATCCTTTTTTCTGTGCTGCCAGTACACAGTCATAAATAGTGTATATAATAATACATATATGAAACTGTTGCTGGAAATTGAGTCTGAATTATGAATAAGGCTTTTATTTTATATTCCTTCTTCATGTTTGTCCCTGCATGTGTGTGTAATGCTGCAAATTGCAGATACCAACAACTGTAGTTGTATTGTAGTTAAATCAAACGTTCTCCAAATTTTTTTTTTTTTTTAGTAGCCCTCACGATGAGTAATGTATCTATTTTTCCTATATTTTAATAGAGTGTGTTTGTTGGGAGATATGCCAGAGAATGGACACTCAGGAATACAGTCTCAGCCTTAGCTTGACATGCTGATCAGATGGTCCTTGGGGAAGGGAGGCATGCTCCTGTGCTCCTGCAAGCTTTGTTGACTAGTTTGCTTGTAAGTGGACTAGGGAGAGGACCAAGAGGGCATCAGTAGTTCAGCGCTCAGATCATAATCAATAGTTTGGCCAGGGTGGCTGGAGCTCACGTGCAAATTCCTTGGTTTATATCTACCAAGGAGGGGAGCAAAAGAAAACAGTGAGTGGGCAAGTTGGAGCAGAGAGGGTTAAACATACTGAGTCAGGGGAAAAATAGGTGAGCAGAAATTAGGTAGGAGAAGTGGAAAGGAAAAGGAAATGTACAGAAACCAGGATGAAGGTTTTAACTTGCAACGTAGTGTTTTGTTTTTAATTCAGAAAAATGTTGTCTAACTCATGAAGAAGTAGTTATACCAGAGCAACTCATACAGTGATGAGTGACAGTTTAATTCACTTTCTGTGGTGGGGAATGTCTAGCAAATCCGGCTTGTGATAAGTTGCAGCATCGCCTAGTTCACATCAACATGAAATGCTGAGGATAGTCTTAGGCTGAATATCAAATTACAGCAAAGTTACTCTGTTAGGTTATGGTATGCCTGTGGGTGTTTCTGCCACCATGGCTGTGATCAGGGTGTAACAAAAAAAAAAAAAAAATTCAGAAATGAGAAGCCAGTTGTGTCCAGGCTTCCTCCTGAAGGCTTCTATTACTCATGAGAAGTTGTTTGAAAGGGGCTTGAATTCCAGGATGGGCTTTGTCTCCTTCTGGGAATGGGCTGCACGTAGGAGTTGCACACTTGTCTGTCTTACCCATTTTTGGATATTCCTAGCAGGGTGTAACAAAAAAAAAAAAAAAATTCAGAAATGAGAAGCCAGTTGTGTCCAGGCTTCCTCCTGAAGGCTTCTATTACTCATGAGAAGTTGTTTGAAAGGGGCTTGAATTCCAGGATGGGCTTTGTCTCCTTCTGGGAATGGGCTGCACGTAGGAGTTGCACACTTGTCTGTCTTACCCATTTTTGGATATTCCTAGCTGTTCCCCTTAAAAGGCCTTTTAACTCACTTAGTTTTTCTGAAGGCTATAAAAAGTATTTATGCATGTTGACTGTAGCCCTGTATATCTTGACAATCATGTGTGGTTGCAATTTTTGTATTCCAGCTGGGGAAGTACTTAACCCCAGTTTTTTCTGGTTCAAACTGAATTAGTTTTCACCATATGCAGCACCTCTTATGAACGTGTGGGTGGGAGGAGGAATTTGAAATGAAGTTGAGAGCTGTTTCTGTGGTGCAGTTATTTTAATAACCGTGGGTCTCTCCGCACAGCAGACTGATTGCTTTTCGGAGTATTTCTAAGGAAGAGAGAGGGTCAGGAAGGTATGTAAACGCAAAGCGAGACCTCAAATGACCATGTGCATTTAGGTGCTTGAACAGAACAATTACGTTTTGCTTTTCATTTTTGTAGTTTTTAGGTGGGTGAAAGCAAAGATTTGGGTTTGTTCCATTTCATCCTTTTTAGAAGGAGCAAGCCACATGAAGTAGAAAAAGTTTGTCACAGAAGTCCGAGGTCACACTCTTGGTATGAATTTGTGATAAGCTTTGGGATGCAGCAGGGAAACCAAGGAATAACCTCACTTGTCTTTGGTAAGATATTCATAGAGTAATTCAGTTAGAGAAAGACCTTGGGAGGTCATCTCGTCCAACCTCCTGCTCAAAGCAGGCCAACTGCAGAGGCAAAGCAGGTTTTTCAGGGCCGTGTCCATGTCCAGGCAAGTCCTTCAATACCCCTGAGGACGGGGGCTCTGCAGACTCCCTGGGCAGCCATTCTGCTGGTTAAGCACCCACTCTGAATTTTTCTTCCTTATATCTTAACAGATTTTCCCCTTGTTGCGGATTGTGCCTGTTGCCTCTTCTGCTTTTACTACGTGCCCCGGGAAGAGTCTGGCTCACCATGTGCTCCAGACCTTTAACCATCCACTAAACCATGACAAACTGGAGATCTGTGCTTATAAAGAGCTTGGATCAGTGTTTGTCAAGCACCTACGCATCAGGCAGTATTTTTTTGTGTGTTTGAGTCCATTTAACAACATCTGTGTTGGGTTTTTTTTTAACAGGGCTCTGATTTTGCTGTGCTGTTACGTCAGGGAGCAAGGATGGAGTGAGGCACAGGCAACGTTCATACTAACATCTCTATAGGTGCCAACACAAAAATACCTATGTTCTTTTCTGCCTATAGATAATACATATCAGGTGGGCCTGATTTACTCATAGAGCTTGGAGTTAGGTATGGTTCTGGTTCCTCTCTCTGCCACAGCTGCTTTTGTAATAGTTATGCCTCAGCTTCCATGCTGTTAAAATGGAGATTATATACTCTTATTCATGAGAGTGCTGAGAGTCCTACGGTAACTGTTAAATGCATATAGTTCCTTGGGAGAAAACTGCTATAAAAAAAGGCAAAAAAAGTATGTTTATAGTATAAACTACATGCTTGTAGTTTTACAGGGTTACGTTAACTCCTTATTCTTAGTATGTTGCTTTTAAACCAAAGTAGTATGCTTTTGTAATGCATTGTGTTACTGTACAAATTAGATGCTTTTATCCAAATCACTTGTATGTCTCCTTCGGTTTCCAACACAGGGGTTGCTAGGATGGCCTCATTTTTCACATTCGAGATTTGGAAGTAGAAACAAAGCTTAGAAACTTGAAATTGTTTTAAAAATTAAGTCCTTTCATAGAAGCAGTTAGGTTTTCTTTTTTGTCAGCTTTCATAATGAGTTTTTGGTGCCGGGATGAGCAATAATTGCAAATGGCAAAAAGTCGTCAGAACATTGTTACTCAAATTGCAGATTTTTATTAGTTGTAGAAGAAATT